ATACAAAGAACAACTCCCCAATGAACAGAGGTAGGTGCAGTAACAAACTGACTGACAATATGAACATCATGAGCAATATCTGGACGAGTGACTGTGAGATAAACCAAACTTCCCACCACAGTACGATAAAGATTCGGATCAGACAAAGGAACACCATTAGTAGGAGAGTATCGAGCATTGGTTTCAAGAGGGGTATCAACAATCTTATTATCAGAAAGTCCCGCCTGTGTAAACAAGTCAGATATATATTTAGTCTGAGAAAGAAGGTACCCTTTCTTAGACTGAGTGACCTTAATACCCAAGAAATAACGCAGCAATCCCAAATCCTTCATAGCAAATCGACGAGCTAGATCATGCTTCAAAGACTCAATACCACCATGCTCATCACCTGTAATAATCATGTCATCCACATATAAGGATAGAAAAATCCGTCCGGCACTCGAGCATCTAACAAACATAGCAGAATCGTGAATACTTTGGACAAATCCGAGAGAGGTAATCACTATGGAAAATTTCTTAAACCAAGCACGAGGGGCTTGCTTGAGCCCATACAAAGCTTTACGAAGTCGACAAACCTCGCCCGGTCGGTGTTGAATTCCTGGAGGAGGGGTCATATAAACCTCTTCATGAAGGTCACCATTCAAAAAGGCATTCTTGACATCCATTTGAAAGATCTTCCACTGTCGAACAGATGCAATTGCAATCATAGTACGAACTGTCGTCATCTTTGCAACTGCGGCAAATGTCTCCTCGTAGTCAAAATCATACTGTTGGGAATACCCTTTTGCTACAAGTCTAGCCTTATATCGTTCAACAGAGCCATCAACTTTTGTTTTTATCTTGTACACCCAACGAAAACCTATCGTATGTTTCCCAGGAGGAAGAGAAACCAAATCCCATGTATGAGTCTAATGAAGAGCAATGAGTTCTTCAGCCATAGCATTCTGCCAAAGAGGATCTGAAATAACTTCTCTATATGATTCAGGTTCAGACAGATGATGGATGCTTGCTATAAATGAAGCAAACGGTCCTGAATATGTAGAGTAAGAAAAATCCGGTAGCTTGGTGGACTTGACAGGACGAGAAGATCTCCTGAGGGGTGGTGGTGGAGGAAGATCCTCAACTTCAATAATCGGAGGATCAGGCTCAGGAACAGGTGGAGTCGAGGCACCCTCTGAAGAAGTGGGTGTGTCATGTGTTGAGGAATCATGTGGCATAGATGAGTCTTGAGCCTCTATATCTTCATTAAAAGGATCAATACATAGAAGATCAGACTTTGTTACATTGTGGGTTGTAGCAGGAATTGAGTAGAAAGGAATATGTTCCAAAAAAGTAACGTGTCGAGAAACATATAACTTCTGACTCATAGGATCATAGTAACTGTATCCTTTTTGACCAATCCCATACCCCAAAAATACACAAATAGCAGATTTCGGCCCCAACTTGTTCCTTTCAACATGAGGACGAAGAACAAAACAAGTACATCCAAAAACTCGTAAAGAAGAGTAGCCTAGTGGATGACCATATAACTTCTCAAAAGAAGATATTACTTATTCAATGAAGTAGGGATATGATTAATCACATACACAGCAGTTACGACTGCTTCTCCGCAAAAGGCACTAGGGACCTGCGCAGATAGGAGCAATGAGCGGGCAGTCTCAACAATATGATGATGTTTTCGTTCTGCCACACCGTTTTGCTGAGGTGTGTCAGTACAAGAAGACTGGTGTATGGTACCATCAGAAGCAAGTAACTGAGTGAAATCATTAGAGGTATATTCACCCCCTAAGTCACACCTGAAGCACTTAATCACAGCTGAATGTTGAGTTTTAACAAGAGCTCTAAAATTGTTGTAAATACCAAAGAAATCAGATCTGCGTTTCATAAGATAAACCCATGTATATCGTGTATAATCATCTATAAAAGATACATAATAGGTTGACCCACCCTTTGTGGATACTGGTGCAGGACCCCACACATCAGAATAAATAATATCAAAAGGAGCAGTAGAACAAGACATACTTTTATTGAAGGGTAAAGCAGAAAATGTTTCTAGTTTGCAACCACTACAATCAGAAATATCACAAGAGTTTAAATGACCAAAAACACCACTAGATGCTAAAAAATTCAACCGTGATACTGACACATGCCCCATGCGAGAATGCCAAAGATAAAACTCAGACGACAAATGACTCAAACGAAAAGAAGATAAATCAATGCTGGAAGCAGCAACAGGAGATACTTTGAGGACCTCCAAGACATATAGTTCCCCCACCCTACGACCAATCCCAATCACCTTTTGGGTGTGTTGATCCTGTATAACACAGACAGAATCAGAAAAGAACACCCAGTTACCAGACTTGCATAACTGGCTGACTGAGGCAAGGATCAAAGTAAGTTTAGGAATGTAATAAACATTAGGAAGAATTATATAAGAAACGGAGACAGACCCAACACCCTCAACTAGCATAGATGTATCACTAGAAGACTTAACAGAAATAGATGACACTTGCGACAAAGAAGTAAATGATGACAAATGAGGAGTCATATGATGGGTTGCACCAGAATCTAAAATCCACAAAGATGAGGGAACACCTGAAGTGTCAGACGAAGAAGGACCAGAATAAGACATAGATGCATACATGGCAGTGGGATTAGAAGCCAAATACTGTCTAAAGCTCTCAAACACCTTGGGATCCAATGCAGATGGTGGCATATATCCAACAGATTCTGTGTCAACTGGTGGAACAACAGCAACAACAAACTGTGGAGGACGAGGGGTCCATGGAGGAGTACTAGAGGAACGTGACTGATACTTCTGTTGACCAGACCTATTTTGTTGCCCTGACTGAGGTTGACCAGATTTACCCTTGTTGACTAACAATGGACACTGAGCTTTCCAATGATTCTTCTATTTGCAGAATGCAAACTCATCATAAGCGACTCTTGAAGTTTGTCGAGATTGACTAGAGGAGACAGCAAGCACAGCAGGAGCGGAAGTAGGAGTAGATGTTGCTTTAAACCCTTTATCTGCATGGGACTTGATACGAGTCTCTTCTGCAATTAACTCATGGACAACTGAATCAACTGAAAGAAGAGGAGAGCAATGAAGAATTGTTCCACAAAGACCTTCAAAATCAGAACGCAAGGCCATCAAGAACTGAACCAAGCGTTGTTCTTCCTTCCTAGGAATGTAAGGCTCAAAGTCTTTTAACTCTTTAGATTCAGTAAGAGCCAATTGATCCCATAGATCATACATAGCAACATAGAAATCTTGAATGCTTTGGTCATTCTGTTGAAGGGCACGCATATCATATGCCAATTGGTATTGTTTAGCAAAATTGGACTGAGTATACAGTCTCCCCAAGTGATTCCAAACTTCCTTTGTTGTATCATACTTAGCCAACTGCATACCAATGGACTGAGTAACAGAGTTATTGATCCAAGTAATAACCTTGGAGTTATCAGTCTCCCAAGCATCAAGCAACAGATCAAAATTCTCAGTTTGAGGCACTAAGAGTTTGACTTTAGTCCCAGTGACATAGCCCCACATATTCTTCCCACGAAGGAAGTTCTTCATAACGTAACTCCAATACGTATATAATTCTTTCCATCCAAACGAGTATTGATTGACTGAAGGGAATCATCCTTTCCAGTCATGTTGATAGTGAATGAATAACCACAATGACAATATAATAATCTGAGAATGAAAGCAGTAACAAACTAGCAGAAGCAATCACTTGAATAACAAATCAACAACAATTATGAACCAACAGCAGCAACGAACCAACAACAACAATGAATCAACATATCAAAAAAAAGGACGAGTACCATTGATAATGAACGAAAATGGCATGCTACAGTAACCCTAGAAAATTTCGATCGAGCCTCCGCCCCGAACTCCGGACGGGGGCGCGCTACCCCCTGTAACCCCAAGCGAACTCACCGTATTAAACATTGTCATATAATTATATCAAAGAGAAGTTACAACGGTTCTTAGAGAAAAGCATATATACTACAAGGAATCAAACGGATATAAATACTAGCTAGACAGAAACCCTAATAGGCTAAAGACAAAAAAAGAGCCCATAAACAAGCGGACTAATAATATAGACTAACAAATATGTGGACAACTAAGTCTATTTCATCAAACAAGGCTCTATGCTAGGGTAAGTTCATCAGCAATGTATTTCATGTCATGGAGAAATTCAGTGACAAATCTTGCACCCTTACGGTTATTAGCAAGTCGAGATTTTAAGGAGATGATGCATGACCTGGAGACGTCATAGCTATCTGTCAATTGTTTAAATGCTTGGTCAGATGTCTCTGCGGAGGAGACAATTGGTTGAATAGTATCGGGTGCCTTATATTGGCGATTACATGGTTGGAATGTACACAATTACATGAGTAATGCTAGGAACTATTATCGGTAACTATTCTATGTAGCCTTTACATATGAAGACATTTGACTATACAATTGAAGTGGACAATCTCTAAATGGGTTTTGATAACCCATTGGGCTCGATACCCTTAATTTAATTTCTCTTTGTTGTTCAAAAAACAAAGATGGATGGCTAGTATAGCAACAAGCCAACAACCTCTAAAACAAGGGTGCAATTTTTGTTTCAAGAGCACCCACTTCCTCAAAAATGACAGGATGTCCTTTTTACTTGGATAAATTTCGAGAATATTATTGTTGAAGGATTACCATGCATGCAACTCACTTCCTAGAAACGCAATGGGACTATAGTGCACATTGCTATTGTTATTTCTTGTTCCAAAACAACTTTGACCTTTAAAAATTTGGTTTGACTTCCTACAGGGGTTGATTAAATATAAACTGTGCAAGTTATAAAAGCAAATAGCACGTCCCCATTGCAGCAGAAGAGGTTAAAATCGCAGCAGAGAGAGCAGTCTACAACATATACTTCCATATTTTTAAAATCTAGTTACGGGACTTCTGTCTATCTATACATCTCTCTAAATAAAGGATGCAAAGTGAACAAAAAAAAAAACGTCATAAAGTACTTAAAAAAAAGGGGGGGAGAAAGAAAGAAAAAAACTAGAACCAACTGAAAGACAAGATCGATGGGTTGCTTTTTTCTCCTAATCTTGTCGAGGGCGTGCCACCCAAAGAGAGCTGAGAGAGCGAAGGCGATGGAAGTGCTCGGCCACTGCTAGCAAACTCCTGGCTGCCTGGCGGGTTGTCAGGAGTTGGAGTACATGATGAATTGTCTGGCGTCGCAAATTATCAGCCTGTAATTAAGGTATTATTAGTTGTAGTTAGTCTGTAAATAGATATAGTTTGAAGAAGTTGATGAATAAAATAAATTAAAACTTTCATTCTTGAATGACATTTTCATGTAGCATAAGCAGGCCTGATCATATAATTAGTCATAAATTAACTTACTAATTAATACGTTGACATTTTTCAAGAGAGATTGTCAATTTGTCAGAGTGAGTGGTCGCATTGTCAAATGAGCTCAAATATTTATATAATCATTTTCATTATATATTTCTTTTAGATAATTATAATTTTGTTCATCATCTCTGTTTGTGCGTGAAGTTGCTAATGGAACATGGAAAATGTGAGTTTTTCTTCGCTTAGCTGGATATGAGTGGCAAATTTTTGGACATAAGTTCAAACTTTGGTAGTTAATCCAGATATTGAAAGTAGGTAATTGTATATTGAGTTGATGTAAAATAAGGAAATTGCAAAACATAATTTATACAAATAGAATAACAAGTCATTAGCATAAGGCCTACAACAGTAGTCAAATAAAATATTGTTATTAAACTATTACCTCCCTTCATCTAATCTGCATAAAATATTTAAATAAATAAATGGTGCAATATATAGTGGAAAAAGAGAAGATATGCCGTAAATTGATAGATCAACTTATTATTTCTCATTGAATTGACAGGGTAAGTTGTTTAATATGTAGTAAATAAAGTCAGACAAACCTTAAGTTTATGGATATTAGCTTAAGAATTGCATTTTATTAATACGTGACGCATTGCTGGCTACGTGCCATCAAATATGTTAGAGGAACCAACTTTGGTATAAAAAAATTCTAAGAAACTAATTAAGGGCAAAAAAAAGGAGTATGCAGCAACACAAAGAGATTGAAACACCAAATTTTATATTTTTTGAATAGCAGAAACATCAATTTATTTAACAAACATTTGATTCTATCTCCTGTGTCTAAGGGGTATATTTACTACATAAATAATAGAAATGATTTTCAGTTTAATATAAAAAAACTACAAAAAGATTTATAAAAAGCTGCAAAAAACCGATAGTATATATAATACGTGTGTCGCAAAATTAATTGGCAGCTGATAGCTAGAAATTAAAGTTTTTATTTGTTATATTAATGTTTTGTAAAAATAGTTGGTGCTTTTGAAATGTATAAAATCACTTGAAATGATTAGGATGTGTTTGGCAAAACGTTCAATTTAAACAAAAAGTTTCGTTTATCCATATGAGATTTTAGATTTTTAGTTTAAATAAAACGTTTAAAATATAAAAACTCTTCATGTTGCGTTTAAAAAAAGTTATTGAGCATTTTGAATTAATTTCCAAAATTGACCTTAAAAATATATTTATATGTTTATTAATTTAAAACAATTGTTCTTTTATATCAATTTACACATTTGAAAAGCTTTCATTTAAATTTGTCAAATACTTAAACTTTGTTTGACATATAACAACTAACTTATTTTTCAAAGTTTTTTAAGTTGTTATGTTTGGCAAACCAATAAGTAGCTTATAAGCTAGATTTTAAAAAAAAAAACTACTTAAACTATCTTTTTAGGAGCTGTTTAAAAAAAAATCAAATATACCTCTTAATTAATTATAGAAATAAATTCTTTTAAATGTGATTTTATATCATTTTATATTTTCCAGCTAATTTTACCAAATATTATTTTTTATCAGCTATCTTTTCAATTATTAAATAATTTTTTATTTAATAACTAGTTTTTTAGCTATTAGTTATTTTTTCAGCTAATAATTAGTTTTTCAGCTAACAACTAATTTTTCAATTAATATGTCTAACATAGTCTTATATAACAAATAAAAGCTACAACGTCAAACTACTAGCTACAAACTACCAGCTTGTTTTGCCAAATACGACTTAAACAACTAAATAGATTTTTATTAAATGGTACATGAAGTAGCTTTTGATTTTTGAAGTTTACATTTTTTAAACTAAAAGTTAAAGGTTCGTAATCTCAAACGAATTTTTTTATTTAAATCGATCTTTTTTCTAAAAGCTAAAAACTAGAAATACTCACACGCTTGCAACAAACATGCCCCGCAATATCTTAGACTAAAAATTATATCCATAAAAAAGAAGGGTTTAGTAAAAGTAAATGTAGCTTTTGGAACTAGTAGCTTGATGTTGTAATTTTAAGAACATCCACAATAACAGAAAAAAAAATTATGAGCTTTTTCAAAAGAAAAAATAAATAAAAAATAAAAGAAAAGTAAAAAAACAGAAAAAAACAAAAAACAAAATAAATAATAAATAAAATAAAACTCTATTAAAAAGATAATACCATGTTCATAATCACAATTGTTTTTGAAGGATGGTAATATCATTAGATAACCACTATTGAGACGATAGTGAGAAAAAAATTGAAGCTATTGAACCAATTGATCATATCAATAAAATGATATGTTTCTTCTAGATATGATCTTAAATGTATATTTATTTTAATTATAATCTATCGTTTAAAAAAAAATAAAAAGAAAAATATAAAAAAAATAGTTATAAAGTACAAAAACATATATATGGAAGTTGGTTTTGATGTTATTGAAGTAGTTGTACTTTTTTATTATAGGGTTTAGTGTGGGGATGGTCTAATTTGTTGGTAAAAATCAAATGATACTGAAAATGACATCATGTAAATATGGGCATTCGGATATCCAATGATGGGGATTGGGGATGTTTGTTTTTTTTGGGTCCACTCCACTCTCTTTAAACACAACGATCACCATGCCCCTTTTCCAAAACTAGGTCAAGCAAATTACCCTTTATCTCATATTCATGCATGCCATGTCTCATGATTCGTATTCTGTTTTCTGTTCTTAAATCTCAATCAACTATTCAACTACAATTATTACAGTTGCTAAAAAAAGCTGTAATAATTACAAATCGAATGAGGTAGTTTAATTATATAAGTTGACAATTCATTGTTCTTAATTTTGAAATTGACTAGTTTATACATTATACATGTATGAATTTTTAATCGTTATATATATATATATATATATATATATATATATATATATATATATATATATATAACCCTTGAGAAAATTTAATTTCACTTTGATAATAAAATTCAAACTTATTAATCAATTATTTAAATAAATTATTTACTGATATTTTTTAATTATATAAAATTATAATCATCGATTCAAATAAACACATGAAATTATATCTTTTTATAATCTATATTAATTTTATTTTATTTTCTATTTTAATGTTATTAATTTAATATAAAATTTAAAATAAAAAATCAATAGATTCATAACTGACTTGATATTTATTAAGAGGTCTAATAGGTGAATAACAAAAGAACTATTTTTTTATTATTATAAAGAGAATATATATATATATATATATATATATATATATATATATATATATTACACAAATTGTTAGGAACGAATTTGTGAGTTTACTTTTATTTAAAATATTTAATTTGTATTAGTTATGTTAAAAATTAATTATAGATCTTAATTAGCAATTACATATCAGTATACATTTGGAGTGGCTTTATAGTGGTTAATAGTTTACATTAACATGTTTTAATATTCTTTTTTTAATATACATTGAAGCTTATTTAATACAAAACAAAAATTATTAAATATAAAAAATATTATATTTTTTAATATCGAGTAACAAAATAACGAAAAAAATCCATACCATCCTCGGACATGATTTGTCTATAATTAATTAAAACCCATTATTAAAAATAAAAAACCCAACTCTTCACTCATCGAGAATTCAGTCGGATTGAAATTAATAATATTAATAATCACGATGATGATGATAAAAGACATTCTAATACAAACTTTATACGGATTTCATAAAACTGCAGTTTTGACAAAGGAAGAGGAAAAAAACTAATAAATTTAAGACCATAAGAGAAAGTACGTTCTTAATTAATGAATCGAGCAATATGTAAAAGTTCAAGATTTATATTTTGTCAATGATTAGTGATTGAATATTTTAATCAAGTCAATGTGGGGGATGTGGATATAGGACCAAATGAATCAAGACATGTGCCAACTGTAAAATTAGGGTTTCCCATTTCATTTAATTTTATCTAATTATAAAGTCACATATAATTGATATTGATATAATTGATGGACCGAAGGAGCAGGTTAATAATCTGTTGGAGTAGGTTCCCTAACCAAAGACTGTTAGTAACATATTCTCATCCATGGACCCACATATATTTTGCACTTTGAACTATATAATCATATATAAAGAACAACTTTTTGCTGTGATAATTAATTATATATATAGATACTATATATCTTTTTGAAAATAGATAGATAGATAGTGTACCTGTATAACGAAACTTTCTAGGGTGGAGAGCTTGTTCATGGCTGCAGCCATTTGACCCATGTAGTTAGCCATGTTTGTAGGGGAACTTAGAGCATCAGAAGCAATGGTATCAGATAAAGATTGATTTAGTGCATCGAGCCCTTGTGAAAGTGCTTCTTCGGCTTCTTGTGTAGCTTGTTGCACTTCACATATCGCCATTAGTTGTTGCTCAGTTAATGGCTCGATTTGACCAAGAATTATCTATAGATTAAAATTCCAACAACCCAAATAAGGATTAATTACTCCAGTAAATTTTAGGCACCATGCTAACAAGTAATTATATAACATTCAATATGGTCTTTTAATTTTGTTCATATATATTAAAGAACTTATATAAACAAATTGGTATTCATATATAATTAATAAAGCATGTACATATTACCACGTTATTAATATATATATATATATATATATATATATATATATATATATATATATATATATATATATATATATATATATATATATATATATATTAGTTCTAATTTATTCTAAAAAGGAATCAAATGACCATGTCTTATAGGATGGATTCATATATCCATCCAAAAGGTACAAGTACGAGAAGTAACATGATACAAATTTGTGAAAATGCAATTTCCTCTTTCCAAATATTTTGTTTGGAAAGATGTAGAGAGTGAGAGGATACAGACACAACACAGAAAACACACAAGAGTGCAGAAGTTGTAGTGACAGACATGGGCTTTTTGGCACAGTTTGGAATAATACCTAACTCATCCTACAATGGAAAAATACCCCTTCGTCATCATTGTAATTATTCACTCTGTGTCACCTTCACTTTTACACACACACAAACAGAGTGTATAAGTACAAGCAAACAACAGCTTGCAGTACTCATGGAAATTAACTGCTTCCTATACTTCCTGGAGTATCTCATCATATCAACTCTTCTTACAATTTATTGTTATCCTTTCTACTTATGGTATAGCTATTTCAAATAAATTAGAGATTGTTTTTCGTTAACTATGTCTATATTTTAATATAATAAAGCCAGTTTTATCCTTTAAAAAAGAATATTTTACTTTGACATGTATTTTAATGCAATTGTTTGATTATTGCTAATATTTCTAAAATTCTAGTTGTAAAAAAAAAATTAAAGAAACCAATTGACATAAAATAAAAGATATTATTCCAATTAATTATTAATGAATGAAAAAGTATTAACTATAATTCAAAACTTAAAATTTATTGTTTCAATAAAAATTAAAACTTAAAAAAGTTTCCATTTTTTTAACAACTTAACTAAAAGAATATTGTATTTTTTTTCTTGGCAAATTAGATAGTTAGTGATTCGTATATTTTTTTTACATAATAATTTATGTTTATAAAGTTGTAAAATACTTAAACAGATTAGAATATATAATTTTCCTTATAATTTCGTAAAAAGATGTTTGAAACTCGAATAAGAAAACAACAAAAATCAGATCATTAATAATTTGTAATGGTATAAAATACTATATAGACAATCTTATTTGTTTTGAAAATTTTCTAACCAAATCTTGCAATGGTTATTCCGAGAAATATAACCAACAAATATATTAAAACATTGTTATATAGACTTAATTCTTTAATTATATATAAGACATTTCTCTTTCAAAAAAAAATTATATATCAGACATTTATCAACTACAAATTAAGTCGATTTGACAGTGGTTGTTATCTATGTATTTATTTTATTGTATCTATCTTATATAGTGATTTTTTTAAACAAATGCATTATATATATATATATATATATATATATATATATATATATATATATATATATATATATATATATATATATATATATATATATATATATATATATATATTCAAAATGATTTATGCTATATGAAGTATATGTAGAGCGAAATGTAGCATTACTTTTTATCCAAATAATAACTTTTTTTTTTTTACATTTTTTCAGTTAAATAAGTTTGAAATTATTATATACATTATATAATCTCTAGAGGATGTTTAGTTTAATTTGGTAAAAATATATTTTATAAATAATATAATAAAATTTTAATGTTTAACCTTAATTATATCAAGTTAAATAAAAATAAATTAAAATATCTCAAACACATACACGATAAAATGTGTGGTTGCACATACCGGGGACCAGAGTGTCCTCTTTTAGAAGGATTCACTGCAACACTTTCACACTTTTGACTATTCTTGTGGCATTTTGAGGATCATGTACCATGCTTTCTCTCTCATTTTAGTGTGTTAAATTTAGGGTTCTTATTTTCTTTTGTCCATTTATATGTGTGTGTTTGTATGTATAGAGATATGTGTCTGTATGTATTTACGTATGGAGATAAGTTTAAACCTTGATGAGCTCAGATGGTCGAAACCCTCCAATCCACATGAAGCACCGCTCAGCAGGAGTTTTCCAGGTTCCGGAGATGATGTGGAAAACATCAGATTTAGCAACGATGCTCTTCAGATTCATCACATCATCAATACGTGCTATGCAGTTATCAACATAGATTCGGAGCTCGTTTTCTGGCAAGTGTTCTTGAACTGCAGCTTGAAGCTCACACATTTGACGATGGTAGTCCTCCAGCCACCTTGCATACTCCATGTCAAAAACTGCAGCATCTATTATAAGTTTTTTTGGATAAGTCATGAACAAGCCTTCAAAGATCAAATTAGTAATTGATGATCATTTTTAATTAACTTTGTTAATTATCGTACCTGAGCTTATGTTGCTCATGCCAAGTGGAACACCTTGATCAGCTCCAAGAACACCACCGCCATTACCAAGATAAACCCCCTAAAATTACAATACAGAAACAAAACAATACAAATTAAAGAAATATATAAAGGTATAATCCATGCGTTTAAGTAGAATTTATTTTCGAGAAAACAATTAAAGAAATATATAATCACCTGAGCTCTAGCTCTTTGCAATTCTTGTTCCAATTGGGTAAGTTTAATTCTGCTTGATTCTAGCTGCTGAACATAAGCCTGTAAAAAGGAACACAAAACGATGCACGGAAATTCATGAAAGATTAATTTATATTACCGAGGTGTAACAAACATTTGTGAAACGTATACAGACAAAATTATTCTCTTTTTCATAAATTTCATACCTTTTTTCTCAGCCTGCTTTTTCTTGCTGCCTCTCTATTCTGGGCAAGTCTCCTCAATGTCTGCTTAATAAGATAAAACATGTTAAACGGTTCATTTCTTACATTTTTAGTATTGAAATTATTTTCTTCTTTTTCACAAATTAAAATCAATAATAGAGAACCTTAGGATCGGGTGTTTTGGGGCGATTCTGATCTGAACTAGTTGTAGGCCCTTTCTTGTTTCCCTCGTTCTACATCAACAGTGAAAATAAAATAAATGAATTAAGTATAATTTAATGTATAAGTTGATGATGATTAAATAAACACTTAAAAGAATACGACAAATTAAGAAGTATATATGGTTACCTTGATAGCTTTAGAGGATTGAGGGGCAGGTGGAGGAGCATCCTTTTTGTGGATTGCAATGTTATCCATAGACTGCTCCGATGGTCTTCTTGAACCACTGCTTGATGGAGAAACTAATCCAGTAGTTGCCTACCAAAAACACAATTACAAATTCATTTTTCAATAAATTAATTTGATCAATCAATAATATTTAATCTGGAATATATTAAAAAAGATACAATCTTTATTGTTTAGAAAAGGATACCTTAGTAGTAGAGGTCGAAGGGTCTACCACATGCATCGGTTGGGAAGGGAAGATGTTCAAAGTTGGAGGTCTCATACCCGATGCCGAACCCTCTGCAAACATTATCAATACTAATGAATCTTCAATTAATAATTAAATATATTTTGTTTTTAAATAAGTTTAATTGATAGGGGTGAAATGATACAACATGAATTAATCAACAAAAGTTATAAACGGGTTCGGAAAAAAGGTATTTGATTATTTCGCTCGTATTTAATTGATAATTACTATAAAAATTAGTAGGGAAAAGAGAAAAACATAAAATCTTTGTTAAATTTTAATTAATTTTCATCTACGACGGTGAAAAATAATTCTTGGTGGAAGATATATAATTAATAAGAGTTGCGATGACAAAGATTGTTTTGCTGCATGTTTATGGTCAGAATCTTGACACAAGAAACCTTCTATACGAAACAGATGGACCAAAAAAGGTTTGAAACAAGAATATTGTTTGGAAATTAAGTAAAGATAAGTTGTTTTTATATAAGTGAAGGGTTAAGAAGATCTTTTTGTTTCTTCAAAGAAAGGATCTGGTCAAAGCAAGTACCATCAGATCATATTCCCTGAAGAACATGCTTTTCTTATGATAAAAAAAGAAACGTTCTTGAGAGAGAAAGAAGAGAGAGAGAGAGATGAATATGTTTTATTTTAGAGGATATGATCGATCTCACGTCTTTGATGATCTTGTATAGAAGACAGTGCTGCAGACGGATCACCACCAGTAGCAGCTTGTCCTTGGTCGCCGTAGAGAAAAAGTGCTTGATCTAAATCAGCCAAATCATAAGGCCCACCGCCATCGTTTCTCCTGTATAATACAAAATCAAATGGATAATTAGAACATGTAAAAACAAACATAAAAGTTTACACTTTTGTTGCTTTTCTAGGCTCCTATAATTACTAGGTGTATAACACTCTCATTAATTAAAGCCGCTAGCTAGTGATATATACACGTATGTGTAAAATTTGATTATCAAAAGAAGAAAATTAAAGGGTTTCAAATGATCACATGATATTTTCGTTGGTGGTGGTGGGATTGGTCGAGGGCATGGAATGATTGACCATAGCGAATGATATCTGATTGCTATCATGGTGATGATGTTCTTGATGCTGGACAAACTGTAGTTGGTGATGAGGCTGCTGATGATGATGATGGTGATGATGTTGTTGTGGGTCTAAGAAAGTGTTGGTTGATGTATTTGAATAGCCTTTGTTGGTGGTAGCCATGATATTCGTCAAAAAGGGAGGGTTTTTGGTCTTTTCTTGGTGGTCTTGAGGTGGCGGTGAAGGGTGGTTTTGATGATGACGACGATGGTCTTCACCTCTCTCAAAACTCATATGTGTATAATTACCAATCTCACCCACATCTATACATGTACGGATAAGTCTCTAGAGGGGGTGGGGTGTTGAAAGAAATTCAAGCATGAATTGAATGCTAAAGATGAAAAAGACAAACTTCTAAGCTATTTTTATCGCTTCCCATCTTTCTCTTTATCTATCTCTCTCTCTCTCTCTATCTCCCTCTCTCTCTCCTAGTGTTATTAGAACATATAGTTGTTATCTGGCACACAAAACCCTTTTCTTGCTTCTCTCTCTAAAATATTTCAATCGGCAAAAACCAGCAACGACCTGGAGATAGAGAGGAGAGAGAATGATAGGGAGAGAGAGACACTTTATGGCTTGCTTGTCCGACCATCTTAAAGTTGTAGGAGTTAAATGACCGAAATGCCCACTCGGTCTTCGAATTTGATGATTCAACTAGTGTTTTCTAACATAAAACATGTTTTATTTGGTCAACATCAGGGGTACTACGAGAAGGATAAATTAGTTAACAACCCTTTTAACAACATTTGTTTATTAACAACCCTTGAAAGTAAACGTAGTATTTAGGCGGAAGTTGACAAGTAATCTAATTAAGTTATAGTACCAATCTTTTAGTTAATTTACTATTTTGTGATGTTGTAAAATATTTCGTATACAACAAAAGAGAAAAAACTATGCAAATATATTTATTATATAAAAATATAAAATATATATTAAGATTCTCATAAAATTACCAACATATCAATTTAATCTAAAATTATATATATTAATCGTCATCAATGCTTAGATAATAACAAATAGATTAATTACAGAAATACATGAAGAGAACCAACAAAGTTGTTACTTTTTAGGAGTTTTTATTTTTAAAATTATTAATTGTTGTTATAATAATTGTTATTCATGATTTTACTTATTTTATATATTCCAAAAAATATTAAGATGTTCAATTTGATTTGCAATTCAATAAAAATTCGTACTTTAATAATAACACACACATATATATAAATGACGACACACTTGAAATTCTAAAAAAAATAGAGATCTTGATATTCAACATCAGTCATATATTTCTCATTTGTTGCACTATATTGGATGAATTATGAACATTGGTTTGGCATGCGGAATTAAAGAACACACAAAGAACACGGTCATTTCGGTGTTTAAGATATGCATTCGATTATGTAAGGTGTTACAAAATGGATCTAGATCTAAATCTACATAATTAACACACACTAATACTCTTAATTTTACATCTCTCAAGCACACATTTATAAGTGGTACGAACCCACTGTATACATGTCTCTCTTTATCTCTCATATCATAAGGCTAATTTACCACATACAAGTGGGTCTACAAAAGTCAAACTATTTACAAAGTCATACATTGATAACTTTGTACCCAACATTCTCCCCCTCAAAGTTAGGAATGGATGACCCGCTTCAAATCTTCCAAAATCAAGCAACTACGCGCACCAAGCCTCAAACGTGACACATGTAGAGATAAACATCAAATATTCAATTATTCCATGATTCTTCAATTTGGGTTCTAGAATGTGAGACCATACAAACTGAGCATCAACGGATAATTAGGAGTTTCTCAATCTCCAAATAATCACCCTAAAGTTAAGCATAAAAACACACTCCAAAAATCTTCAATAAGTCCAAACCCATCATGAATTGAAATCACTTCCGAATCTCCAATCGAATCATTTCATAAAATTCAAATACTCAAGGTCATTTCAGTCTTCAAGTCCGCGTAATATGAAAAATTCAACTTTCGAATTTTCATATAAATCTCTCCCCCTTTTTATAATCAAAAATTGATTATAAAACCATAAAAGGGAATGAGAAAGCACTCAATTCGGAATTTTTCTATCCAAAACTCCCCCTTAACACATGGCATAAACATTTTGCTTCAATCCGTAAAATCCAAAAAATCTTCAATTTTTAGCTTCGTTCATGGACCGCTTTTGACAAAATTTCTCAAAATTGTGTAGAAATTGTCAATTTCAAGATTCTGCAGTGACCCGATACGCCCAAAACAGCCAAAAATGCGAAACTCTCCCCTATTTGCAAAACTTGATAGAAAGCGTCAATTTGCATTAACTGCAGGGGCCAGAAATGTGTATGTTTCAATTTCAAAGCTTTGGAACACCATTTTCGAAATTGGGTATAAACTGCCAAACTTTCGAAACTTTAAATACTACTTTCGAAATTTCTGCACATATCTTCAAACTTTCGAAACTGGGTACACATTGGCAAACTTTCGAAACTTAAATGATCAATTTCGTAATATTGCATTTTCTTCCAAACTGTCACAATTTTATCCAACTTTCGAATGTAGGGCTAAAGTGTCAAACTTTCGAAACTTTTATGTTTTCTTCCCTAATTCGTTTCCCAGATAACGAAGATTTCCAGTTGCTACAAAACCTTCGTAACATTGACACAAAACCTTCTTTAGATGAAACCCAAAATCTTCGTTAGTTGTTACCCAATTCTCACAACCAAAACTTTCGAAATTTTTAACCATTGACAACTAATCCTGACTTGATTCCAAGCCTTTGACTATCAATATCAAGACTAACACCAGGATTCGCTTTTAACAATCAGGCATCGACATCTAAACATCAACTCAAAACATGTGGAATCCAATATCACCCTTATTCGCTTTCAAAATCCATGGCATCCATTCGTTATCAACCATATAGCCTTACAAAATCAACCAATAACGAACTCAAATGTGACCCCAGAGGCTAAATCATAAGTTTTGACATCCAAAATAATCACCACAAAACGAAATCTACCATCATCCCAAATCTTTGTTCTCAAGCCAAAACTATCAAACCATTTGTTTTCCTTCCCATATCAATTTCTTCATTCTCAGTCATAAATGTTCGACATCAAAAGCATAGATTCAATCAATTTTCAAAACTGAACCCCGAATCAAACATGATTTTGACATCCATAGCCCAAAAATAACTTGTACAAGCCAATTTCACATTCCAGTTCAACGTATCAACACATGGAAATTGAGTTTGACTTTTTCTGGGATTGACTTTACGAAGTCAAACATCAATAAACACAAAATCGATGTATCTAATGTCCAATTTCAAATCAAAAAGTGTTTAAACAACTGTTCTAACAATACTCTTCACAAAAATTTGAAAGTTCTTGATCAATTTCATCAAACCCAAAAACTCAATTTTTGAAATCTTAGTTTTAACTTTATCACAATTGATCTTTGGGATTAAATTCAATGTAAAGAATCGATTCACAAGTACATCTCCACAAACAAACTAATCAATCCACAAGAGTGATGAAAGAAGAAAGAGATTCTAGAACTATGAATAGAAGAAAACGTTGAATACAGTGTACAACAAACACATATATCTCGACTCAAGTAAACGATGGACTCAATTAAATGAATAGTAGTGGATTCATTTGTAACGACCCAAAATCACGACTGAATTTTTTTTTAAACATTACTGAAACCATATTTATAAAAACCGTATCATAAGTCATAACATAATTTTCGAGTTTTAATTCAAAACATAATCTCATTATCAGAGTAAATCACTCCCAGGTTAACTGACTATGGTGTGTGCACTGCAACCTCGCCGAGCTCCTCTTTTGAAAATTGAGTACCTAAAACCAAAAACTGAAACCGTAAGCACAAAGCTTAGTGAGCTCCCCCAATCTACCACATATCATACAATAACATATAAAACAAATATTGGGACTTTCCCACTGCATCAGATCGAGGTCCGGTCTAACTGGGGCCTTGCCCCCTGCATCGGACTGAAGTTTGGAAACTGACTGGGACCTTGTCCCCTGCATCAGACCGAAGTCCGGACTAACTGGGGCCTTTCCCCCTGCATCGGACCGGAGTCCGGACTAACTGCATCGGAACGAAGTCTGAAACTAACTAAACAAAGTATAACATAAACATATCAACTAGCAGGAACACATATAAACTGCATACTGCGTCGGGCCGTAGCCCGGAACACATAACACATAAATCCTGTCTGAGCCACGAAGGCATCAAACATACTAACTACTACATCGGACCGAAGTCCGGAAACTACTGCTAACTAAATGGGCCGGCATTGTGGCCTTAGACCCGTTCCTACTTGAAGGAAACTCACCTTGTGATGCTGACTGCTGAACTCCTGAATGAGAAATCCCCGACTGCTGCTTCGAGTGCTTCCCAGCTATCATGGGAAATAAAATACTAAATCAAAATAGGGATTCTCCTATAGGTAAAATGACCATTTTACCCCTGATATGGCATGGTCACAACATGGCCCAAAAACCCTCAATTCCTTCTAAGCCTATCCATGGCCCCACTAAAGGCCTACTCATGGCCCAATTTGCTCAATTGGACCCAAATCCCTTTATTGGACCTTACTCAAGCCCAATGTTAAATCCATGATCCTTAGAAACTAAATTCTGATGGCCCAATAAGGCCCAAGGATCCTAAGTCTCAACTCAGCCCACACCGAGGCCTAAAATGCAATAAGCTCAACTGACTGCGTTACGAGGGGCGTACACTATTGTACGCTTAGCATACTGGCCTGCTAAAGAGTACGTGGGGCGTACCTGCAATTACGCTCGGCATACTCATTCTGTTAAGACACTTTCCATTAAGCACTTAATACTCCGACTCAAGAGCCATAAACTTAGATCTAGGTCTTATTCCATTCCCTAATCCATAAAGTTGCTTGCTTTATGGCTTCCATGACTTTCATAAGTCCCAACTCCAAAACTCATGTTCTAATTCCATGAAAGAAGGTCTTAACTCATGCATGAAGTCATTGGGACCATAAAGATCGAAACTTTACTACTTATGGGACTCATATGACTGTAAGGGAGGCAACCCTGGTCTTAGAAACGAGCTTAAGTCATAAAGTCTCAATCTTGGGACCAAAAAGGTCCATAAACTTGTACTAAGGAGATCAAAGAGGTTAATCATCAAGCTCAAGACTTTTTACCTTGCAGAGGTCCAAAATGAAGCAGTTATCCTAGATCTACAAGCTCTAGTTTCAAAGGTTCCTCTTTGCCAACCTTCTTCTTTTTGCTTCCAAGCTTTAATCCACAAAAATGGGGTCTCCAAGGTCAAGATCTCATAAAATGATGATAGGGATGTTCTAGGGTTTCCTCTGAGGTTGGGGAGACTGATATGGGGGCTAAGGTTGGAGCCATAATGTCCTTTATATAGTGCTCAATTCGAAATTAGGGTTTCATAACTTTTAGTGTACGCTGGGCATACGCCTTGGACATCCGCAACCAAGCTGCCTTATTACGCTGGGCGTGACCCAGCTTACGCTAGGCGTACCCACGCGTGTCCCAAAGCTGCATGCACGACCTTCCAT